GTTGGGGGAAAATGGGGGAAAATCCACAACAACGTCAGTGAGTAATTTGATGTAAAAGTGGGTGGCTGTGAAACGCAAAGTAAGACAAAAAGCACAAGTAACTGAGAAATACCGTAAGCGAAATGAGAAATCATTAGTAAGTAAAAAGCTTGTCAATGTGTGTGAGTGTTTGTGTGAGTGGGTGAGTAAGTACAAACACAGACGAAGTAAAGATAAAGACACACATAAAAGAAAAGCGGCGTGTAAAAGTTTTTCCCAGCTCCCTGTGCTTTTCCTTATCAATGCCAGCGACGGCAACTGAATTAATTTTTCAATTCGCCAAACGAATTCATTGACTTTTTGTGTTCACCCATACACCCGCATAGCCAGCTTCTTGCAGAACCAAACACTCACACACGCACACAGTCAAAGATTCTGGTTTCAGACTCCACGTTTCTGCTGGGGTATTAAAATCCTTTAAACAGATTTCATTTCGAACGCTTTGCGGTCGATAAATGCATTTCACTTTGGTGGTTTTTTACCCACACAATCTCCTACACACACTCACACACACACTAACACACACCGTACATGCTATACGCTTTCGCTTAAACATTTGTGTGTGTGTTTCATTTGGCATTGCATACTTTTCGGCTGCTGCTATCCTTTTCGGCTTTTCCGCCTTCGCAACTGACTCTTTCCAATGATTTGCTGGCAAATTACTTTGAGGTGTTGCCTGCTGTCTCTCGCCTCACTTTGCCACTTTTCCCCCTTTTCCGACCGCTTTTTCTCGCTTTCCCTGCTGTACAAAAATTGCCAAATTCATTTCCAAAACAAACATTAAGTATGTGTGTTTGTCTGTACGCGGGGGTGTACTATATGTTTAAATGTGTATGTTGGCTGCAAGTGTTGCCAACCAATTTAAAAGTTTTGCTGTCGCCGTCGCCTGAGCGAAAGTAAAGCGCGCTCGCTCGCTGTTGTTGTTGTTTTTGCATCATTTGGGGGCAAGGAAAAACAGCCAAGTGCAGGCGGATCACAGGCAGATGGAGATAGTACAGCCAAATACAGTGGAAATTAGTTTAAGGAAATACCATCTAGGTCTTGTCAGGGAAATATGGGTTTTTACCGCATCAATAAAATCTCCTCAAGCTATAATGGATTCTCAATATGTATGTATTTTTATTTTAGTTTTCATCATTATGAAGGATTAGCTTACAGTAGCTTTTAGATTTTACGACGCAATGTAAAGGCCATAAAAATATATAAATAAAGATACATTTTTTTAGCAAATCTTCTTATTCAATATTATTTTAAGGAATGTAATGGAATCTGATATAACTCAAAAAAGAACTATGTTCTTTGTATATCTACCTTAATTAATTATAATGCCAAGAGTAGGCTAGTCTAAATAATGCGAAATTAAAGGTATGTGGCTCAGCATATGCACCTTCTTTTCCTGCTAACTGCCACTGTAGTTGGCCATTATGGAGGTTGCTGTTGTTGTTGTTTTTATTGTTGTTGTTGTTGTTGCTGTGATGCTGTGGATGGGACTCCTTCCACTTTCCACTTTCCACAGCCAACTACTGTGGCACTTGTTGGCTTGGCTGCTGCTGTTGCAGTTGCGACACTTGAGAAACTCGCAGTCGCTGTTTGTTTTTCCAACAGCGGCATGTAGGTGTAACCCGCCCCTCCCCCTTCTTTCGTCCTGTATATAGTAGGTATGTGTATGTGTATGTGTAAGTGCTGCTCGAAAGTTCATGCACCGTGTGCCACTGTGGCTGTGTGTGTGTGTGTGTGGGGGTGTGTGCCCACTGCATATATAAATTTATATGCATGTGCCTGTTACGCTCTGCTCCTTTCGCTTTGCCGGCAATTTGGCCGACTCCCTCGCATTTGAATTGGAAATCCAGCGGCGTGCTTAATTTTCAATTTGCAATCATTTGGCCTGGTAATCAATGTTTGCTTTGTCGGTGTGCGGTTGTCGACTTTTTCTAGTCCTTTACTAATTAGTAACTAAGTGTGGCTCATCGAAAAGTCAACTGTCCTTCTCTTTTTTCCCTTTTGATTCTATTAAGTGGGAGAAATTGCTCCAGTTCGTAAAACAAACGGAAATTCTTGCATAACATAGATGATGTCCAGTATACCTGTCCGTTTTAAAAGTCCCAGTTGATAAATTGAATCAAAATATGTCTTACTATTCAATTTTAAATAAAAATATTTATAGACTCATTAAGACTTAAATATGTTTTTTATTCTAGTTATCAAAATAAGACAATTTTTTATAGCAGTTTGTTATTTAAATGGTCATTTATTATAATTTATTTATTATTTATAAAAAAATATATTTTTAAATGTTATGCACTAGTTATTCCTTCCGAGAGTCAAATTAAATTTCAATGACTAACTAATCGGTATGTTAATTTTTATTCAAAATCAATTGCCTTTGTGTGGTTATCCACTTTTGCTCAATCCCTGCTAATTAGTAACTAAGTGTGGCTCATCGCAAAGTCAATTGTGCTGGAAATGACCCTCCATGTATTTTTTTGTTCGGTTAACCACTAGTGAATTTGCTCCACTTTCGCACCGCTTATTTCCCTGGGTATTCTCCCAACGATTTCCCGGATTTCTAGTAAGCCGCCCCGCATTAAGCCAACTTACACAATGCCCGGAACCGGCAAACTCTTCACTTTCGCCCCGACTACCGACAACCGACTACCAACCAACCAGCTCCTATTTATGCCCTGCCAGTTGGTGTTGTCTTGTCTAGTAATTTTCTCACACTTTGCCAGCCGCTCATCAACGCTCTGCTGCGGCGGCCAAAGGGAAAGGCAAACTTCGCAGACTCAAGTGTGGAAATTTTCACTTTTTTGCCATAATTAAATTCATTTTCAAGTTGCTCTTGCTGCCTGGCGGCCTGGCTTTCGACTCGACGAGAAAGATAGATGCCACACACCGACGCACACTCAACTTTTCACTATTTGTAGTAGACATTTTCCATTTTTCATTACAGTCCAAAGTCGGGCCGCCCGACTTCCCTCGTTTCATTTTCATGCAGCTTCCTGAGCCGTTGTTTCCGGTTTTATGCCTGCCAGTGTCTACTTGTGTATAGTTTTTGCCATTAGCAACCGTTGTTGCTCTTGGGCAGTGGAGACGGAGAAGGCCCAACAAATTGGAGAATAGTCCCAGTTTCTGTCTCTATCCCTGCCTTTGTTTCCAAGTTTCGGCTTAAGTTGTTTTTAAGTTGTAAATCTCTACGGGCATGCAATTTCCCATCCTTAGCCCCAGCCCCAGGCTATATCAAATTTTTCATTTGTGGTTAAAAATATGAAAATTGTAACTGATATTTATGCTTGTAATGCCTACGCTTGACATTTCAGCCCGGCGGGGTGGTGTTCACAATAATTCATCTCCGAAATGCTTGTTCGAGTTTTGTTATTTTCGGATAACAAGTGCGAATTTGGGCCCCTTGGAATTTTACCAATTCAAATCCGGGCGAATGTTGAATGTGATACTTGTCCTTTTACTTGTGCTTTATTGAAATTTTTGAAATCTACCTCCTTGACTTCCGACTTTCTGGAATACGTTTAATTGAATGTGTTGCCAGGATGATTTTGGCCATGTGACGCATATGAATTTCTATAAATATGAAATACTTTGATATCGATTGCCTAAGGAGTTTTTCTCTCTTGAATTGTAATTGTTGAGGCATTGCTTTGAATACATAAGCTGATGTTTTCTCTTCAAAAAACGCTGGCTTATTGATGTTCTTGAAAAGGGCTTTAAGAGGATTTCTAACAAATCAAAATAATTCCCGCATTTAAAGTTTTTATTTTTAAATTTATAACTTTCAAAATGTTAAAATGTGTTTAATTATCACACACCAACAAAAACAAAAACGTAAAACCTTCGCAATTAAAACATTTTTCCATACAAACAGCATTTCATTAAGATACAACTTATACAACTAATACGATAAATTATGTTTTTGCCATGGCCATGTTTGAATGATTTGCTAACTTTTTAAGCTCTCACAAATCCTTCAATGAAATAAAGCGCAATTATTTAGCAAAATAAAATTCATTCACTTAAATCCTAGCTGAAATCCATTTGAATACGTTTCGAATTGCAAATGACTTGGCTGACATTTTTTAAATTAATCTAATACTGGATTTATTTGTTTTTGCAATGTATTATTTTTTTTTGTTGTTTTCCAATATTCAGCTTTAATGAATAATAGTTTTTTTTGTGTGTTTAGTTTGGCATTTTGCTTTTATCTAGGCAAATTGCTGATTCAGATTCATTTGACAGACACTTAAAAATTTCTTTTAGAGTTTATTTTTAGGCATGCAAATAAAATTCCACCTAGTTCTGATTATGACTCAGAAGGCGGAATAAGTAAGTATATTTTAAAACATCCAATTAAATAAGATATTTACTAAGAAATCTAAGATTTATGAATGCAAAGTCGTTAGTTTTTCCATGGAATAAACTTCTTTTGAGAATAATTTATCTAAAGATGATTTCTTGATGGAAAAATATTTCCTTACAGTAAAATAGATTTTCTCTCAGAATCACTAGCTTTATGGAATTATTTTAAAACAAAACTGAGATATACAAATACAAAACAGAAAATATTTTATGTGAAGGTAATATGGGCCCTCATTAAAACAGATAATCCTTAGATTAATTAAATTCCTATCTAACAAAACTAAGGTATACAAATAAAAATCAGAGAGTATTTTAGGTGAAGGTTAATATTGCCCTTCAATAAAATAGATTTTATGCTTTTCTCAGAATCACTAGCTTAATACAATTTGTATCCAACAAAACTAAGAAATGCAAATGAAAAGAGAAAATCAGCCATAATAAAAAAGATTTCGTTGCAGCATTTGAATTTCGAAACACGTCTCAGGGGCAAAATGGCAGCGACATTTTTCAATTTATACAACACCTTTTGCCGGTGGAAATTCCGCCAAAACGGGGGAGGCCATTCACCTCGGAAAACCCGCTTTTCCACTCACCTGGCTTGGAGTTGCTGCCCACGAGCTGCTGCTGTTGCGACATTTGCTGTTGCTGCTGTTGCTGCTGCTGCTGCGAGTGTTGCTGCTGGCCATTGTGCTGCAAATGGGCAGCTGTCACCGATTGCTGCTGCTGTTGCTGCTGCTGTTGCTGGGCGGCTGCTGCGGCCGCTGCTGCGGGATGGATGGCCAGCAGCTTCGTTTCCGGCGGCTTATGCGGCCCCATTGTGATCTGCGGGGCACCCATGGCTATGGTCGGTGCTGGCATCATCAGGGTCGACATGGTCAGCATTATTTGCGAGTGAATTTTGAACCTAGGAACTAGGCTAGCGATGCAGTTGCTCGTTTGCTCAGATGCTCAGATGCTCAGTTGCTTTGTCTCTATTGATTTGCTGGGGGGTCAGCAGCAGGAGCTGAACTCGATGCCAAAGGTCGTGCGTTAGCCTTTGTCGCCAGCTTTCTCTGGCTCTGGCTTTGGCTCTCGCCTCTGTTTTCTGTTTTCTATATATATAGTATATGTACGGAGCGCAAACTTATGAAATATGCTCTTGCCTCGCACCGCCTCGCCTTTATGTATTTTCACTTTTCATGTGCTGGCTCTGGGTACGTATATATTTATTGGTATAAATATGGGTAGGTATATGTGTATTTTCGTTTTTTTTCGCCTTTCTTTTATGTTTCGCTTATGTGTTTGTTCAACCGGAAATACACGAACTCAAGCGCACTTGGCTTGTAATATCGTTTCAGGGATTTTCTTCGCCTTCTGCCTGCCAGTAATCGCAAATTATTCTTTCTTTTCTGTTGTGTCTGCTGGCAGCGGAAATTATAAATATTCCTGTCATGCGAGTACTACAACGAGTTTTGTGCCCCCAGACGTCTTCTGTTTTAATATCAATGTCTGCTTGGGTATGTAAAATGTCAGGCCCAAAAAAAAATGCAAAGAAGGAAAATAATGAAAATTTGTGAGAAAATAACAGGGTAAAAAGTGAAGTGAAGCCCTGCTCAGCCGGCTCGAAGTCGCTGGTAAAGTTTTTAAGGCAGCTGCTGCAATGGCAATTATTTTGCCGGCAGCTTCTGGGGTTTTGTCGAGCGCGAATTCAGAAAGTCAGTGACTTCAAATGTGAAAGTTGTACAAATATAACAAAAACTAAGGCATGATCGTTTAACCAACAAAAATAAGTGTGTGAGCCAGCCCAGAATAATTTGCCATTAGAGGCAGAGTCAGAAGAAGTCTATGTTTCGAACTACGCACGAACCAGGCAGACGAGATCAATCGCACACACAGGAAATAATTTACAGGATATACAAAGCGTTCGGTATACGTTCGTACTAGACCGCTGGGCGACGCTTTTCTTACTGAACGCCAGGAGCACACGCATTGGCCAAAATTCGGAGGCGCTGCTGCCACTGCAACGACGGCAGAAAGGCTGCCGATTTTCCTGCTGCCGATTTTCCCGCTGCCGCTGCTGCTGTTGCTGCTAAAATCGCTGCTGCTGCTGTTGCTGCTGTTGCCATCACCGATGATGCGTTTCCCTACATTTTTCTCTTCGACGGCAAAACGGAGCTCGGCCACGATATACGAAGCTGGCTGCCATCGCTGCCATCGTTCATGAAATATTCACGAATGGCTAGCTCTCACTCGCGCCGCCGTTTCCTTTCAGAGTCCTTGCTCTTCGGGCCTCTCTCTGTGTCCCGTCTCCGTCTCGGAATCCCGGCTGCCTCGTTTCCTCGCTCCGGGCGCCATTCACAAGCTCGGGCTGCTCGTCCTTTTTGGTCCTTTCGGCTCCGTTTGCCACAGAGCGCAGAATCTCCGAACGCCGGGAGAGGACTGGCATTTTCGAAAGCGCCAGACACATTTGAAATTGGTTGGGAATACTCCGACTAGATTGTTTTTTTTTATAATTTATAAAGTTACACAAGGATGGTTAAAATATCTTTTATAAGTTACATTGTAACAAAAATTATTTATCCTAAAAACCATTTCATTCTTTTAGTTCTTTTTAATCGGCTTAACTTGCCGCTCATAGTCTTTCAAAGCAACTTCGAAGAAAGTCCTTCTCTCGTCTGCCTTTTTGAAAATCCCAGTATTTTTATGGCAAGGCAATAAAAACTGTTATACTCTTGCCTAACAAGGCAGATGTTAACAACATTTTATTCATTTAAATGCTATTGTCAAAAACTAAAAATGTTTTTAAATATATATCGATTTTTTTTATAGAAAAATTATGAGAAAATATTTAAGTTATAATTCTGTGCAGATGTTATTCACCAAATACAATAGAATTAATATTTAAATTCTACTTAAGTAGTCTATAAAAGTTTTTAAATGAAAGATTTAGTTCAAGCTATTTTTTATTTCTTTTTTTCTATTTATCGACTTGCCTGTTAAATATTATATCTTTAGCTTCTTCAAGTTAGTTTATACTACACATTTACCTACTTGTTTATATTGAATAAATATTTATTTTAAAAGTTTTGTGCACCCATAAGTTTTTTTTGCATAATATTATAGCCCTAATTTTGTTTGAAATCAAGTTCGAAATTAATTTTAAACTAATCTCTATACAGAATATGTCAAACACTTAATTAAGAACAAAAACGATAGGTCTACTAGTAGCAAACTGAACGATTGTGGTGAGTGTCAGACATAGAAAGTTCAAATGTCAAAACTAGTGAAAAGGGTAGGGATAAATCAACTGCTTCTGAGCTATTGGATTCTTGGCCTAAGGCTTACATTTGCAGACTGGGTTTTTTTTAAGAAATAGAAAAATGCCTAGACTAATAGTCGTATGAGATGTATATCTCCCTCCTTTACCGCTTTTCTTGCCCTAATTCCAGACCAGTAACGAAATACAAACAGGACGACAGAAAGGATGCAATTTCAGGTGTAGCTCCTTCCTCCTCGTTTGTACTCCTTTTTTTCGTTATTAACATACTTTTTCGTGTCGACAGCGGTGACAGGGACAGCAACCGAGACGTTGACGGTGTTTTGAGGTAATTTTGCCAAGAGAACTGCTCCAAAATGGGGTAGGGAATGGGTTGAAGCTACCAGCAAAATGGGAAACGAGAAAAATACATAATTACATGTAATTTAGCATGCGACATTATCATTGTTCTGCTCGTATTTAGCATAGAATCAACGTCGCACGGCACAGACATGGAGTGTCGGTGGAATACCTCATGTGCCCGACGACGGGTCCTGCTAAGTGTCCTTTGTCCCTGTTCCACACTCAAATGTATGAACTTGAAGAAAAATGTATTAAAAATTTTTGTAACTTAAAATTTGTGTTACTTTTGTAATACAAAAAATTAATATAACTTTAAAGAAAATATTATTTTGCAAGTGATTTTGTAAAAAAGAGTATTGAATTTGTATTTTTAAAGAATGTAAATTCCCAGAACCACAAAAATATGAAGCAGATTTTTTTACTGTTAACCAAGCAACTTAAAGAAAAATACTTATATATATAAAAGCTATCAAGTATATTTAGTACAACCTTATTAAGAAATCTTGTTTGAAGATTTGATTCGTTTGACAAAAGTTTTTAAAGTAGAACAATTTATTTTTATTCACAGAGTGATTTTCGTCGTTAGAATCTTGAATGAAAGACTTATGTTCTTCACTGTGCAATATTGCATGTCCTTAAATGCAAGAAAAACAGCAGCAACTTGACGTAATAACAAAAGTGAAGTATACAATAAGAAACGGTCCTTAGAGCGATGCAAAAGACGAGTTTCTTTTTTTTCACCCTCTCTCATTCTCTCTATGTCCTTTTGTCTCTTTCTCCGCTTGTATGCAGTCGTGTGCATGGTTGTGTGTGTGATGACAATTGCCCTTTGAATTTTTTAAATCCCTTTAAATGAAAACAACAACAAGATTCCCCCAGCCTTTTGCCTTTTGTTCTTCGAGTTTCGCTTGTTAGGTAAATCAGCGCCAGCTTTGCAGCAACAAACAACACAACAGCAACAGCAACAGCAACAATGAGTGAACAACAAAAATATCATCGTGCAGAAAGTTATAACGTGCTTAAGCGTCTTTAGCTGAAATGAGGCTAAAAATATTTGCTTATAATGAAGTGCACGACTGTGTGAGTATGACCTGTGACCATGCACAAGTATACATATAAACATTTGTTTGTTTGTTTCTCACTCCGTATATGTGTGTGTGTGTGTAGCGACATAACAATAGCGCATTGGGTACTATTGTTGTTGTACTTGAGGACCAGCCCCCACACACAGCCATCGCATAAGCAGAAAATTAAGGCATTGTTAAAGCCAATTAGGGTATTTAGTCGAGAGCCCCGTCGCAAAAGCCGTGTGGACACAACACGGCGTATGCGTGATATTTCATGGTGGATGACAGCTGCCAAGGATACGAGCGCGAAACCAAAGGGAAAACTTCAGGGGTATTTACTTGAAAACTATGAGAAGGGTATAATATGCATTTCGAAATGGCTAAAAGATATATATATATTTGCACTCTCTAAAAGCAATAAATAAATTTATTTAAAATCCTTTGTCCTGTTTATCTTTATTAAAAGGCTTTTGATTTATCATATCAAGAAGAACAATTAACTCTTAAAACCAAAGTTTTAAAGACAAATTAATCGGGTTCGGGGCAAATCAAACCCTGGAAAACTAATCCACAACAAACATGCCACTTTTTGACATAACCAGTTGCCTGGGCACATGCCAAATAGGTCGAATTCAGACCCTTTAAGAGACAATGGGATGGCTGGAAAACTGGAAGAGGCGAAAACGTCGACGGAGAACCCACTGCTGATGCTTTTGGGCCAAGCTACAGCTAAGCACCTTTTGGCCAAAACACACGCACTGGGAAACTCTTGCCACATTTGATGGCTCAGCAAGGAATTTGCAAATTTCGGGCACTAAATAAATTCATGTTCGCATGCTCAAGATGACAACGACGAAGGACGACCCTAAATAAGTAAATTATTTATGCAGGCCCGCTTTGGTCTTAGGTGCCGCCTAATGGGGGTCACACTTGGAGGTTTAAATTTTTAAATAGGTGTGTCAGATAATGAAAATAAGTACCCGGCAGGGGAGTTTCGGTCGGGAAAAGTACGAGCATTTTTCGGGCTGCCGCTGTGGTGTGTCGCAGTTTCCGTTTTTCCCCAGCCCCCTTCAACTTTCATGGCCTTCTGATGTGGACACGGCTTGTAGGCCGTCGCCATTCGCCGTTCGCCATTTGCCTTTTAACTTGGCTAACGATAATTTGTTTGGCAACTGGCGGCACTGCCGCTGCGTAATGAATTTTTATGCCCCTTTAATGTACTTTACGCAGATATGAAATTATGTGACCGAAGAGAGCCTGCGTTTGTTTCAGCCGCCCAACCTTTTATTTTGAGCTCTCCGCTCGACCGAGCGACCGCCTGCCATGTTAATTATTAATATTTTTTAATTAAAATGTGCACTAGCCACGGCAACACAAACACGCCTGTTAGGCAAACACAAACTGGGGCTACAGAAGTGTTCGCAAAAGCCAACTCAAATACAAATAAAATCTCACACACTGCCTGCCATACGGCAAAATAAAGAATAAGCAAGCACTAAATCAACACACAACTTTGCTGCCGAAAAAAATTCGGAATTTAAAATGGAGCGACTGCCAGCTCGTCAGTCTGCGGTCTGCCAGATAAATCTCCAGTCTGCGTTCTGTATTCTGGGGGCTGGATTCTGGGGTCTGAATCTGAATCTGGGCAGGGAAATGCCCGCATGAATTATCGCATTCAAATATAGAGCCTGAGCGAGGCCTCTGGCCAAGAACGAACTGTGTAGCATGGTATCTCTCTGCCTCTGCCTCTGTCTCTGCAGGACTTAATGTAGCGCGAAATAACTCGAATAATTCAAATGTGAAACTGTAGCAAATCGGGGTGTTCATATATTCCGCATGTCCCATTATGCATGACCAAATTATGACTGCCAATAATCAAGAGAGAAGGCGCGAACATTTACAGTCACTTCTGGCGGCGAACGAGTTACGCACCCTTCACTCGATTTCTTTTGGCTTGAGTTAGTGTAGCCATTAAAGCGAAATTGTATCTATAAGTTAGAGAGCAAAAAAAAGGGTTTGGGAGTGCTACAGAAAATACTAGGAGTTTGAAAGAAAGTATGCAATGAAAAAAAAAGAAAATTATTTGCAAAAAATTAATGTATCGGAATTCCAAATTATAAATATATATAATATACAACATTGAACACCTTTAGACAATTTCACTCGATTTCTTTGCTACAGAAATGAATAGAATTTTGAAAACATTTATACATTAATTTAAAGTCAGCAATGAAAAATATAAAAGTCAAGCTT